AATTCCTGAGCCAGCTAAGCTGGCTCAGGAATTCTGGGAATTGTAGTCCACGAGTCATAAAAGAGCCAAGGTTGACTACCCCTGCTTTAGTTTGAGGTCCGAGTCCCTTAAGAATGGCGTAACCCCGGAGTAGCTGAACCGGGGGCGCGTCCGGAACCTCCCTCCCTCCTGCCACAAAATAGTCGCCTCCGTTCATCTCTGGACTCGCTTGCGGGGGCTTCTCAGCTTCTTCGGTATCCCGCCTCACAACCGTCCTGCCGCACCATCCGTGATGTCTGTCTGTGGCGGGAAGGCAGGCGGGCGGGCGGGCGGTGGGAGGGCCTCTCAGCGGGCGGGATTGCCTCGAGTGGCCCCGCCCCGTTTTATGTCAAACACGAGGCCGTCGGCCGCTCGCTGAGAAAGGGCAGCGCGACCGGATTGGAGCTCCCGGGTAGGTAGAAACTCTCGGTCCCGCTCTCTGCCTCTTTCCATTGCAGGTGCTTCCAGCGCGCAGCGGCAGGTCGTTCCGTCGACGCCAAGAAATGCTTTCCTTTCGTGGCCAAGGAGCGGCCGGGCGGGGTGCGTGTGTGCAGAATGGGCGCCCGCGGACTGCCGGCACCTGTTGCTTCCTTGGGCTTCTCGCCCGGGAGTGGGTTGGGATCGGCTTCCCGGCAGGCTCGCTCCGAGCTCCTGAGAATAGCGCACCACTACCACCACCACCACCACCACCACGAGGTCCGTCTCACATCTCCCCTCCTAACTTAGACGGAGCGCAATTCCCTGCGCCGGCCGCTGAATAATTTACGGCTGCTAACGCCGAGAATTTCCCCCCCGAAAACGCGCCGAGAGCAGACCGCCGCGGCCGCAGCGTTGGAATTGGCGGGAAGGAAGAGGCGCTTCGGACGTGGTGGAAGGAGAGTTTTGCAGTCCAGCTCTTCTGATCCCCTTCCCCGCACGCGTACGTTGCTGTTCTCGGAACTTGAGCTGTCTTGGAACAACGTCTCTTAATGAATCGGGCATGGGAAGCGTAATTAAAAAATGTAATGGTGGTTGGGCGGGAAAGTGCCGTGTAATATCTGTAACCTTGCAGATATCTCACCCGTTTTGGGCTAGACAAGGAAAGCCTAATTCGCACTTTTTTAAAAAATCCAGCTCACACATTGCACATATTGCTTGATTTCTCTGTCTTTGATGACAGTAGCAGAACGTGTGAATTGAGTTCCTGGAGAAAGCATTGTGGAAGGGAAGGGGAAGAGCTCAATGAACAGGATGCCTGTTCTGTGTGCAAGAGGTGTGCGCAGCGTTCAGTCCTTGGCATCTCCAGGTAGTGCTAGGGCAGGGGTAGGCAACCTTGGCTCTTTTATGACTCGTGGACTTCAACTCCCAGAATTCCTGAGCCAGCTTGGCTGGCTCAGGAATTCTGGGAGTTGAAGTCCACGAGTCATAAAAGAGCCAAGGTTGCCTACCCCTGTGCTAGGGAAAGGGAAATCTGGTGAGCTACTGCTAGTTGTAAGACAACTTGGTGTGGATCCAGAGCATCCTGTAATCTAAGCTAAGGCTGGGACAGTAACATTAATATCCTAATAATAAATTTCATCACTACGGAGCAATGCAAAATCAGATGATTCATGCTCGACAGCAGACTTGAAAGAACCCCAACGTTCATAAAAGTACAAAGTAATATGGGAGGGAGAGTCCCATATTGTAAAGACTGCATGCTTTGTTACTTAGTTGCAGGTGGGCAATGCATGGAAAATGGAGAAGAAAAAATGGAATATTGTAGGGCACCCTGGAAAAGGACATAGCTAAATGCCAAAAATTCAAGCAAGAATATTCGTTTGCTGCATTTTGTTGAAAATTCTTTTACTTTTTCTATTTAGCTGTGAATTTAGAAGATGACAGGTAGTCCTCGAATTACAACAGTTCATTTAGTGACCATTCAAAGTTACAACATCTCTGAAAAAAGGGCTTATGGCTGTTTCTCACACTTACAACTGTTGTAGCATCTCCATGGTCATGTGATCAAAATTCAGACGCTTGGCAACTGACTCATATTTATGACGGTTGCAGTGTCCTGGGGTCATGTGACCACTTTTGCAATCTTCTGACCAGCAAAGTCAATGGGGAAGCCAGATTCACTAAACTAAACAACTGTGTCACTAACTTAACAACTGTGGTGATTCACTTAACAANGGGCCTTGCTTTTTAGAGAAGTGGTTAGCTTTTGCATCCTACTTTTAAAGATTTTCCTGAAAATCCATCTTCTTTATAGTAGTGAAGATATAGCACTTTGCACATAGTCAGTGAACCCTTCATTAGTTGCAGGACTAAACCCTAAGAAGTCTGGTTCTGAAGTTAGGGCTTGGTGCCATCACATACAGCCATAGTTTGGGGCTAGAGAATCAGTGAGAAAAGAAAAAAACAGAAGGCAATTGGTCTTTCAGCGACTCTGTGAAGATACTGTTAATACTCTGCAAATCTCGAAAAGTAAATACATCCTGGCCTCTCCCCTTGCTTGTTTAACAAGCACATTATGCAGAGTGTGTGGTTTACCAAGATAAAAACAAGGAAAAGGCTTTTGTATATAGGAAAAGACTCTGTAGTCTGTTTAAGATTCAGATCCATCCCTATGTTAAGTAGGAAATCATGGTGACCCATTTTGCTGTCTAGGCTCCTGGGAGAGAGGAAGCCATTCCTCAAGTAGCCTGAAGGGTAGCCAAATATGGAGAACTTTGAGGAGAAGGGAGAGCATTAGGGACCGAGGCACTGGGTGGGCCTAGCTACCAGCATGAGTAAAATTCATGCCAGGAAGAAGAAGGAGTAGTCAAAGTAGGCTCAGTGTCAGTCACAAAGATAAAAAGGGTATTGGTGTATTGAGGTGATGGAAAAGATAGTCTTCCCATTCCAGATTATGTATGTCTATTAAGAAGACATATAATGCACCCAAATGAATAGGCTTAACTCCCAAGAAAACAAATTTAGGTTTGGGGCAAAAATTAGGTTGCAGATTTGGTCTTAGCTGCATGTTAGGGCAGTTTTAATTTTCACATTTTTATACTGTACACTCCTACAGTGGGCTTCACAGTGGCTGAATTCATTTTCAAACTTTTTCAGGCTTCAGATCCTGTTCTTAAAAAAAACCAAAACCCTCCCAGAACCTGTGCCCAAGGATAAGAATTATAGTGATAAAAATTGGCTGCATTTGTGTGAAGTTTTTATTGGCCATTAATCTTTCATGGATACTCTCCAATTTTCAGAATTCAGTTTGCAGAAAGAAAAAAAAATCCCTGATATGGACAGACCATGGCTTTCTCAAGCCAATGGTCTTGATTTATAATCTGTAAACTAATCATACAGGCCTTGGTTTACATAACACCAGCTAGAGGCTCTCAAACTCTATTGTGTTTTCCTGGGGATTTAGAGTGGGTTGCAAAACTTTTTTTTTTTAATTTTGCCTTAAGCATGTTGGTTGATCATGGAGGTATCAAGCTTACAGATCAGGTTCTACCTGCTTCTGTTTTTAATGAACCACTAATAGTACTATCTTTTTTAAGCGATCATGTTTTAGAACATTAGTTTGAAATTAACTTTTATACTTGCTTATCTAAACTGTATGAAGGTATCTATTAAAATCTGTCATGTTGAGTCATGCATTGTGGTGTTCCAATAGAAACCCAGTGACTTACCTACGCCTGTTCAACGGTGGGGTGCAAATAGAAAAGACTGTTTTGATTTGTGGCATTACACGGCACATGTATGCATATTAGCAACATATTAGCATATTGTATTCGTTTTATAATGTGGTTAGGTGCTATTATTTGATATGAGTGCGTGTATACCAGATAACCCTCGACTTGCAGGCATCCGTTTAGTGAGTGTTCGAAGTTACAATGGCACTGAAAAAAATGGCTTATGGCTGGTTCTCACAGGACCATTGCAACATCCCCCTAGTCATGTGATCAGGTTTCAGGCACTTGGCAACTGGCATGTATTTATCATGGTTGCACTGTCCCAGAGTCATGTGATTCCCCCTTTGTAACCTTCCCAACCAGCTTTTGACAAGCAAAATCAATGGGGGGGACAACTGCAATGGTTCACTTAACGACTATGGCAAAAAGGTTATACAATGAGGCACCACTCACTTAACTGCTTTGCTTAGCAACAGAAATTCTGGGCTCAATTGTGGTCATAAGTCAAGGATTTACCTTACTGAATTATGGAAAAGTGGTGGTGTATACCCGTATTTCACATTTTGCCCAACCCTAACCACAATCACGGGAGGCTTGCACAAATTGATCAGTTACGTTCGCAAAGTTTGTGAATTCCTGGCGCCAGGCTCAAATGTACGTTTTGCTCATTTAGCAGTTCAGCCTGTGAGGCAGGGGGGAAAAGGCACCCAGAGCATTTTGTCTGATCCTCCATGCCAGTCTGGCCAACTGCTTTTGGCTCACGCGTGATACGTTCATAACCACAGCCTGAGATGATCAAGAACGGAGGCTCCACGAAAGAAAAGGTTTATTTATACGAAGCACAAACCAACTTTCTGCGGTAGAAACACATCCTTTAGTTCAGGGGGTAGTCAACCTTGGCTCTTTTAGGACTCGTGGACTTCAACTCCCAGAATTCCTGAGCCAGCTAAGCTGGCTCAGGAATTCTGGGAATTGAAGTCCACGAGTCCTAAAAGAGCCAAGGTTGACTACCCCTGCTTTAGTTTGAGGTCCGAGTCCCTTAAGAATGGCGTAACCCCGGAGTAGCTGAACCGGGGGCGCGTCCGGAACCTCCCTCCTCCTGCCACAAAATAGTCGCCTCCGTTCATCTCTGGACTCGCTTGCGGGGGCTTCTCAGCTTCTTCAGTATCCCGCCTCACAACCGTCCTGCCGCACCATCCGTGATGTCTGTCTGTGGCGGGAAGGCAGGCGGGCGGGCGGGCGGTGGGAGGGCCTCTCAGCGGGCGGGATTGCCTCGAGTGGCCCCGCCCCGTTTTATGTCAAACACGAGGCCGGCGGCCGCTCGCTGAGAAAGGGCAGCGCGACCGGATTGGAGCTCCCGGGTAGGTAGAAACTCTCGGTCCCGCTCTTTGCCTCTTCCCATTGCAGGTGCTTCCAGCGCGCAGCGGCAGGTCGTTCCGTCGACGCCAAGAAATGCTTTCCTTTCGTGGCCAAGGAGCGGCCGGGCGGGGTGCGTGTGTGCAGAATGGGCGCCCGCGGACTGCCGGCACCTGTTGCTTTCTTGGGCTTCTCGCCCGGGAGTGGGTTGGGATCGGCTTCCCGGCAGGCTCGCTCCGAGCCCCTGAGAATAGCGCACCACTACCACCACCACCACCACGAGGTCCGTCTCCATCTCCCCTCCTAACTTAGACGGAGCGCAATTCCCTGCGCCGTCCGCTGAATAATTTACGGCTGCTAACGCCGAGAATTTTCCCCCCGAAAACGCGCCGAGAGCAGACCGCCGCGGCCGCAGCGTTGGAATTGGCGGGAAGGAAGAGGCGCTTCGGTCGTGGTGGAAGGAGAGTTTTGCAGTCCAGCTCTTCTGACCCCCTTCCCCGCACGCGTACGTTGCTGTTCTCGGAACTTGAGCTGTCTTGGAACAACGTCTCTTAATGAATCGGGCATGGGAAGCGTAATTAAAAAATGTAATGGTGGTTGGGCGGGAAAGTGGCGTGTAATATCTGTAACCTTGCAGATATCTCACCCGTTTTGGGCTAGACAAGGAAAGCCTAGTTCGCACTTTTTTAAAAAAAATCCAGTTCACACATTGCACATATTGCTTGATTTCTCTGCCTTTGATGACAGTAGCAGAACGTGTGAATTGAGTTCCTGGAGAAAGCATTGTGGAAGGGAAGGGGAAGAGCTCAATGAACAGGATGCCTGTTCTGTGTGCAAGAGGTGTGCGCAGCGTTCAGTCCTTGGCATCTCCAGGTAGTGCTAGGGCAGGGGTAGGCAACCTTGGCTCTTTTATGACTCGTGGACTTCAACTCCCAGAATTCCTGAGCCAGCTTGGCTGGCTCAGGAATTCTGGGAGTTGAAGTCCACGAGTCATAAAAGAGCCAAGGTTGCCTACCCCTGTGCTAGGGAAAGGGAAATCTGGTGAGCTACTGCTAGTTGTAAGACAACTTGGTGTGGATCCAGAGCATCCTGTAATCTAAGCTAAGGCTGGGACAGTAACATTAATATCCTAATGATAAATTTAATCACTACGGAGCAATGCAAAATCAGATGATTCATGCTCGACAGCAGGCTTGAAAGAACCCCAACGTTCATAAAAGTACAAAGTAATATGGGAGGGAGAGTCCCATATTGTAAAGACTGCATGCTTTGTTACTTAGTTGCAGGTGGGCAATGCATGGAAAATGGAGAAGAAAAAATGGAATATTGTAGGGCACCCTGGAAAAGGACATAGCTAAATGCCAAAAATTCAAGCAAGAATATTCGTTTGCTGCATTTTGTTGAAAATTCTTTTACTTTTTCTATTTAGCTGTGAATTTAGAAGATGACAGGTAGTCCTCGAATTACAACAGTTCATTTAGTGACCATTCAAAGTTACAACATCTCTGAAAAAAAGGGCTTATGGCTGTTTCTCACACTTACGTGACAACATCGTAGAGGTACCAGTACACTAGTTTTAAGTCTGCGAACCGTTGACTGAGTATAAATACTGCCAACGTCACAGGACCCCAGTACACTGGTGAAAACGTTAGAAGACTGGTCGTTTCAGTTACCCCTTCGGTCTAAGTGATTTGATTTGTTGACACAGTGATTGAATTGTTGACACCACTAAGTGAATTGTTCTGTGGCAAGAAAGATCGTAAAATGGGAAGTTCGCCTAACAAATGTTTCGCTTAGCAACAGAAATGCTATGGTCATAAATTGAAGACTGCCTGTATTGTAGAAGCTCACAGAGAGCTGTGCAAAAATAGATCAATGGTTTTGCATACTTAGTGGAGATTCCTATGTGTATAGGGGTACATGGATTAAAATTATGAATAAAAAGTCTCCAATCCTGAGTTTTTCTAACTAGTGCTTTAATCCTAGGATTCTACAAGAATTTGATGGAATTCTATGAGAGACTAATGGCAGGAATAAAGTATTACTTGAAAGAAGCCAACTTTCTATCACTATAGCTTTGCCTCTTGACCAGAGATTTTGGGAAGGTTTTGTGACAGGAAAATGTTTGGAAATCCCAGCTTTGTTAAACTTGATATCTTCAAAATATGTTGAAGCTATGTCTCCCAGAATTCCAACCTAAAACTCTTGGCAGTAAATAAAAGTTAAGTAATAGATGAAAATTAGAAAGAAGTAAATTACATTTTTAGGGGAAACAGAATAATGTTTAGTTCTTGAATGTATATGGAAATATTGACAGATCTTGCACTGTTAACAGAAATCAATTTGATCTAATTGTCAGTAATAGTCCTTTATCGTTTTAAATACAACTTGGTTCCATCTATCAATGCACATGCAAATCTGCCAGACCTGCTTCTTAAAGGATTATGGTATGTATTTTGATAGGCAGCATAAAAAAAATTATATAAACTCCAAATCCTTCCCAGCTCTGCAAGAAATCAAATGATGGGTATTGAATTTTGGGCCTTCTCCAAATATAATAAAGCTGTGCCCCAGTGTAAAGAATAATAGGTTTAACTCAGCAGCAGGGTCCCTTTTCATTGGAAACAATTTTCAGAAATTTTTTAACATCAATGATGTGTTATTAAAAATTGGAATTTTAAGGTATTTCTTTTCTATCATTATTGAAGAAAGGGAAGGGTACAAATAAAAAAAAAAATACATTAGTACTTCTTTCCCCAGCTATTCCCAGAACATCTGAAGGCACCAAAGAGACAATGCTTTATCTTATAATCTTGTGCTATTTTCTTGTAAAATGCTTGCACATGAGAGAATGGATACAGTACATGGAAAACTACATTTATTTACTGTCTTTGCAGAGTGCCCTTTGCAGAGTGTAATACATTGTGGTTTATTACATTACTTTTCATAGCAACTCCCTTGGTAAGGCTGAGAAAGTGTAAGATCATTTTTGTCAGTCTTATGGCCAAATGGAGGTCTTACCCAGATTTTCCCTGGGGTAATATTTTCTGTTTCCCAGTCTAGCTGCCCTGTGTATGTTTATATAAGGAATGAAGCTGGGAGAAAATGTAATTACTTTAAATACTGTTATATCTAATTGCAATGGGAACATGTAGATTTTTTCCTGTTTTATTTTCCATTTTAAAAAAAAAATCTGCCTGCTATTATAGTCCTTAATGAACAAGGACCCTTGTTTTTTGTATTGAGTTTCTTTTATTTAATATTTTATTTTATTTTCTGCCACTAATGAACCGGTGTTGCCTTCTACTTTCCCTGTAGGAATTCTGCTACCAGTGCACCAAACAGACACCAGCCATTCTTGGGAACAACAAGCACAGAAGGTTGGTGGATAGATAAAAAACAATGATGATGAATGAAACAATGAGTTTCATCAACACGGCTGGAACAAATCCTTCCATGCAAATATAGGAAGTCCTCAACCTATGACCACAGTTTCCATTGCTAAGCAAGATGTTAAGTACGTTTTGCCTCATCTTATGACCTTTTTTTCTCACAGTTGTAAAGCGAATCACTGCTTTACATATGCTTATTAAGCAAATCTGGCTTCCTCTTTTGACTTGTCAGAAGCCAGTTGATAAGGTTTACAAATGGTGATCATATGACCCCAGGACAGTGCAACTGTCATAAGTACATGCCAGTTGCCAAGTGCCCAAAGTTTAATCATGTGACCATGGGGACGCCGCAACGGTCTTAAATGTGAAAAATGATCATAAATCCCTTTTTTTCAGTGCTGCTGTAACTTTGAACGTGACTGGTTGTAAGTCGGGGACAATCTGTACTGATGAGCTTCCTCCTAAATTTATCATATGGTAGTTGATTAACCATCTTAAAACATTCAGTAAGATCCTTCTATGTTCATAATATCCTAAGGATCAGAGGTCCTAGAAAAACTTGTAATTTCCTTCTCTGTGGTAATTGTAAATCCCTAAGATTGTGGGAAAGTAACAAAAACCAGCAAATCCCAGGAAAATTGTATTGCTGTTACTTTCAATTCGATATATAGAAAATAACATTGGCTTGTATCTGGGGCTTCATTTGTCTCTGCAAATAAATTTGTTGGGATTTTTCTTAAAGGCAATCCTAGCTGTCCCTAGCAAGGTTGCATGAAAAAGATGCCAGAGAATTGTGGTGACACAGTTGTATTTGATTCTGTCCTTGTGCACTATTGATATTTGCATTCTTCCCCCAACATACATTTAGCAAGTTAATATGACTCTCAACAAAGAAAAGGTACATTGGCTTCTTATTATGCTGTGTTGTGCTAATGCTTTTGAAATGATGGGCAAATATTTGTTTTGCACTGTGCTAATATTGTACACAAACCTTGTTGATCTAGTCAAAAAGGAAAACTTGGTTCGTCCCACTCTATAACATTTGCAAAATTATATTCACACATAATATCACAGATATCATTAGCTGTAGAAATAGTTTTTTAGTCTCAATAGTTGTAGATATGGTTTCATGAAGAAGCTACCCTGACCCCTGCTTATTTGAGTGGGTTCATGTTGCAGCAATATAGTTAATAAAACATGTAAAGGGGTTGTACTGATTAATCATACCGCTTCGCACAAGCATGAGCATAGCTAAATGTTTAGCTATTTATTAATATGGACAAGCTCTGTGAATGGACATGGTCATGAAATAAATAGGGAGCTAGGTTAGCCTGCACGGTCCCAAGGTCTTCACCTGCTTACTTAAAATTAATAACTGTGATGGAACAATCTTCTGTAAGAGATTCATCTGATTTATGGAAGAACAGAAGTAGGAAAATACTTTGTACTGACTGCAAATTGAAGTCTATTAGATACATTCATGTATTGCATAATGGGGATGGGGGAAAAAAGCTTAGCTGCCAGAAAACTGGGTGGAACTCCAACATTTTTTCTTTTCCAGTATTATCTAGGCTCATGTTCTTAAAACGCAAACTCTGAGATGGGTAGAATTTGTCACTTGGACTATCCGTCTGGGATGATCATTCAGTAATGCGACCTGTGTTCTCAGTAGGTCTCAGGACATTTGGAAAAAGGCATGACAGGGAAGGAAAACCAATATGATTGTGGTTTTCCATCCTGCAGTGTCCTATAAAAGGTATTTTGTATTGCAAAAGTTCTATTAATCTTTCCTCATTAGCCTATAAGATTATAGGTAGAATCTACACTACACTGAAGTTTCAGGGAGGAACTACCTTCAAAAAATGTATGTAGCAATGCATTCTTGTTTCAGCAAGCTTTGCCTTTCAGATTTAAGGAAGGGAGAGTTGGCCTGTATCCCTGGACTTCACAAATGGGAAAGCCATCAAATCCGAAGCTGTCTGTAATCAACTCTGGAGGCCCTTCTTAGTTACTATTTATTACACTGTAGCAACTTTCACACCACTTCAATCTGGTTGACCCTTATGAAAGTATTAGCACACTCAGTATGAACCAAAACAACACAGTAACAACCAATTTAATACATTGAAATTGTACTCTTGGCAACACATCTCAACCGAGGGAATAACTAGTGAATCATCTTCAGTCATGCCCAGAAGGCTCTAAAAACATAGATCTTCACAAACCTCTGTTAACCCGTGATGGAAGAGATTCCTCCTGCCTCCAAGACAAGCTATTTCCGAGAAAAGGAGCCCCCACAGAAAACTGTCCATTTGCTTCCCTAAGGGACCCCGTTAGGGACTTTTTATTTGCTCATTTGAAAAAAGAGATTCTGTTTGGACTAGACGGTTTTGAAGATTCTATGTTGCTTGATTAGGGCAGGGGTAGGCAACCTTGGCTCTTTTATGACTCGTGGATTTCAACTCCCAGAATTCCTGAGCCAGCCATGCTGGCTCAGGAATTCTGGGAGTTGAAAACCACGAGTCATAAAAGAGCCAAGGTTGCCTACCCCGGCTTAGGGAAATCAGTTAAGCAACGGGCCAAGAGATCCTTCTTGTCCTAAATTTCTACAAGTCATGTTAGCATTAAAAAGGTATTTTAGCAGTTGTGTAGCTTAGCTATCTTTCAACACTATTATGCTGGTTGGTATTTTTATAATCCTTTTAAAGAAGGTTTGTAAGAAATAAAAGATTTTTTTGAAAAAAAAAAACCTGGAAAATGCCTTGCAAGGTTATAAATATTTTAAATAAATAAATATGCTTCTATTTAACACATACTTGCAATTATTTTGGGAGGGGCGGGGGCGGCAGTTGTTTCCAACACTGGGCTGAGTTGATTGCCTTCCAGCATTGATTCTAAAAACAGATGATATAAGTGCCAGAAATTCCTTTTGACTTGTATTAGCTTAGAATTATTAGAAACCACAATAGTTATTACAGTATTGTTGTTTCCAACTGAATAGCCTCCATTCCTGGTCAGTTGTATGACATTTTTCTCTGGAGGCTTACTCCCACTTCATTTCTTGGGAATGTTTTCTTTCTAATTGCTTGTGATGCTGACTCACATTTAACCTAACACAGAAACAAAAGACAATAAAAACATAGGGCAGACTTTCTAAACAAGATGGCGTCCAGGTTCCAGGTTGGAACTGCAATTCAGACTTCCCAGCTCTGCACTAATTGGGAATCCTAGAATTCTCAGCACCAAGACATTATTAGTCTAATGAAGAGAAGGACTAGGGGTGACATGATAGCAGTTTTCCAATATTTGAGGAGGAGGTCAACATATTCAAAGCACCTGAGGTCCGGACAAGAAGTAAGAGTTGGAAACTTATCGAAACTTATCAAAAAGAAATCCAATCTAGATCAGTGGAACAATCTGCCTCCAGAAGTTGTGAATGCTCCAATGCTGGACGTTTTTTAAGAAGAGATTGGACAACCATTTGTTTGAAATGTTAAAGGGTCTCCTGCCTGAGCAGGAGGTTGGAATAGAAGATCTCCAAGGTCCCTCCCAACTCTTGTTATTTTGTATTCTGTATTTAGATACTGTCAAGTTGGAGAACGCTGGCATATGCTGAAAGCCAGGACATTGTTTTAGGAGTTGGCTATTGAAGCTGATTGAGCTGGATTTTTTTCTTGGCATGGAATATGTGGTCTATATTGATTTGGCAAGATCATATTAGGACAGGGGCCTCCAAAGTTGGCAATTTTAAGACTTGTGGACTTCAATTCCCAAAATTTCTCAGACAGCCATGCTAGCTGGGGAATTCTGGGACTTGAAGTCCACACTAAGACGTTTGCCAAGTTTGAAGACCCCTGCAGACCTTCACCCTAGTGGTGGAAATACTTTTAAATACAGATTGTTGGGGCAAGGAGCCAGGATGCTTCTGATCATGCAGAAAATGCCAGGACACCATGGACGTGGCTAGTCTTCAGTTTCAGCATGCTTATCCAGGGAGAGGAAGGGTTCTCTCAATTGGCAGTGGAAACAAAACTAAGCTTTGAGATCTTCTATTTGATCACCACCTGTGCACTACACAAAGTGCAACCAGAGATAATGGCAAATGCATGAGTGACCACAGTCTTTTCTAAGAAATCAGGCATCATGTATATATTTCTGCTAGATTAGCCAGGGTTGGCTTTCTCCCATATTGATACTTACTTGAAGACCTTTTTTAAAAGATTGCTCTTGTAGAATCTATTTGAACGGAAGCCCTATTATTTCAAGTGGGATGGGAAGGATCCAGTTATCACTGATTCCCAAACTGTGTACCAATTGCCAGAGAACTCCCAGGGGGTTATTTTAAAGAAGGCAACTGTGACAGTTAAATAATTTGTGTGGCAGCTGAGCTTTAGTTATACTTTCCCTAAAAACTATTGCAGTAGTAAGGAATAAGGCTACATTGAATTTACTGTGGCCATGAATATAAAAAAGAGCCTTAAGAACTTCAGTCTGCCACTTGCTGGATTTCAGATAGTCTAGGACCATTTCTGCAGCACAGTAGTAATCCTGAACCTTCAACTTGATCTCTGACATTTTCCAGCTTCTAAATCTTTTGTTGATCACATGAGATACACCTGATTCAACAGTTAGGTTCCCTCCCTCCTTGTCACGTTCATACTAACCACACCTTAATTACTTGGCACAGCATTTGGTTAGAGTGATATTTTTCAGCTGTGTCACGTGTAGCTAATTACTGCCACCTACTCTCTTTTTCTGAGCTACGCTGCAGAGATTCCATATAAAAGAAGCACAGTGTTCCATGGAAATGTAATTGGTTTTGGTTGTACTGACAATCTCTAAAAACAAATGTCTCTTGTTAAATTAGTGAACAGAGTACAATGCTATTAATGGTTTCTAGGTATGATAGCCATATATAATCTTCAGTATCCGAGGCTGTATGTTTGTCCTCCTACCAGCTGCTTGGATCATAAATTAGAACTATTGTG